GGAAGTGGAGCAGTAGAGGCCGCCAGCATCACTACGGTCTTCTCTTTGAGACTTGCTCATTCAGCCCTCTTTAACACGGTGGACCATAGCTAGGGAGCACTGATGATGTGCTACTTTACTGCTTTTTATGTCTGAGCCAGCTCAGGGTACCTTCATGCTCTGTTTAGGTTGATACATTTCCAGTAGGGAGATTACATATAGCAAGCAGCTTCTTGTGAGCTGCTGCCGTCAGTCTGGGTAGTCTCATCCATATAATCTGTAGATACAGTCTCATCTGATCCTCTCTGAAGTCAGACTTTTGAGATGCCTTAAATAGCCCAAGGACCATTAGTTTTATAAGATTCAGTTGTGACTGAGTCATAGTCAGCTTTTTATTTTAGACATGTTTACAGCCTTTCCTCCCTATAAGAGAACTGTTTTTCTCAAAAATGGCCAATTTTACTTCAGACAGTTTCTTTCTGTCATCTGTTAAATATGTAATTCCCCATAAGCTTAGTTTTTTTTTCTTCATTTCATATGTGGTTTTTATGTTTCCTTTTTTAGACTAGGACTTATCATTTCTTTAAAGATGAGCATGAGTGGATCAGTCGCTGTTTTTCTCTTCCCATCTAGGATTTATTCATTGTAACTCACAGTCATTTTTCTTTCTAACAATATGGAAAATGACTGACAATTCAACACCACAGACTGAATGTAAAACCTGTGATTCATAACTTACTTTTCTTTTTTTAATGCATTTTGTTAAAAAGGAAATAGTTTAAATTTTACCTATTACAGAGATAATTTATTTCGTTTTAAAGATTTGTTTGTCTTTCTTCCTTTAGTAGTTTTACTTTTGGCCAGATTATAGGCATATTTCATAATATTGGACATGGATTCTTTTTGCTGATTAATTTTTTGTAAACTTGATATGAACTTGAACGATCTGGGAAGAACAAACCTTAATTGAAGATTTGGCTCTATGGGCGTGGCCTCGTATGTGAGGCATTTTCTTGATTGCTGATTGATGTGGGAGGGTAGGCAGGTGCACCTGGACTGAGCAGGGAAGGAAGCTGAGCAAGTCAGGGAAGCAAGCCAGCAAGTAGAGTCCCTCCATGGTCCCTGCTTCAGTCCTGCTCCCAGCTTCCCGTGTTGCCTTGGAGTGAGTGGTTATCACAGCACAGACACAAACTAGAACAAATTCCAGCACCGCAAGTGATCATCAGGTGTGTTATTTCCTCTGAAATGAATAACATCTTTCATGTGTTTGTTCTGAACAGTTATGAGATCACATGTTGCAACTTTGGTCATAGGTATATATTTCGAATAGAGAAACTATTCGGCTTATGTTTTGTCTAATATGGGTTTTTTATGTTGTCTTTTTATTATTGTTTACTGCCGAGTATTTCTTGAACAATGATATTTGCCCATTTTATAAATCATATTTTTCTATCACTTATTATGTTTCTCTTATATGTTTTTTGTTTCTAATGTGGCCATAATTTCTGGTTTCACATGATTCCTATCTCAGTGATTTCTACATTGTGTTCAGTTGTGGTTTTTTGTGATGGTCTCCATTTGCTGTAAAGAAGAGCTTTGATGAGGGGCTGTAACTACACTTACCTATGAGTATAAGGACAGGATTTAGTGTAGTTAGGAATTGTGCTGGCCTATCACAGTAGTGATAGGAGATTCTTTTTATAAGATCCATGACTTTGGCCGGGCGGTGGTGGCGCACGCCTTTAATCCCAGCACTCGGGAGGCAGAGCCAGGCGGATCTCTGTGAGTTCGAGGCCAGCCTGGGCTACCAAGTGA